GGCTACTTTATAAAATAGGGCAATCTGCGTCTTCTCTCTGCTTCCCTAAGTTCTAAATGATTCCCCCTACTAATATGAGGGGTCTACTTTCAAGCTCAATTAAAACTAAAAAACAGTTTTAAAAGAAAGGCAGATGTGTGTGTGTGTGTGTGTGTGTGTGTGTGTGTGTTTTAAGGAAAATAACATGTTTTGGTGAGGTTGTGGGGAAACTGGAACCCTCAACCATAGCTGGTAAGAATTTGAAATGGGATGGTCACTGTGAAAAACAAGTTCGGCTGTTTCTCCCAAAATTGATCCAGCAAGCCTAATCCTAGTTATGTACCCATAAGAAGGGAAAGCAGGCCCACAGACAGAAATCTGCACACCAAACGTCCCTGCAGCACTTTTCACAATGGCCACAGGTGGGAGCAACCAACATACAAATGAATAAACAAAAAGGTGGTATATACCTGTGTGGAATATTACTCAGACAGAAAGAGAAGTGAAATGTTGATCATGCCATAGCATGGATGAACCTTGAAAACATCAAGTCAGTCCCCAAGGGACAAATACTGCGTTATATCACTTCCACGAAATAATCAAAGTGCTTACAAATGCGGGAGGGACAGGGAAGAATGAGTCATTGCCTCAGGGGAATGGAGTGTATCTATAACTGTTAGCGGAATGATAAGGACAAAAAGAGTTGCACAATATGAATAGTCCTGAGACTATTCAGAGCTGGAGCCGTGGAAGAAAGGACCTCTGTTGTCGTGGAGGGCATGGCCATCATGGAAACAGCAATAATAGAAAGTGAGGAAGCAGAGGCTCGACTCCCGTCAACTCCCAAACTCCTATCTTCTTCTGCGGGTGCTTTCTCCCAAAAGGCTGCGGTTAAGAAAGCCTGTGACACAGTACCAAAGAATCTGCCCCACAGGACCCAAAACAGGACACAGACAGAGATGAGCAAAAAGTGGATCTGGGATGGGAATAAACGGAATGGTTTTAGGTCATTAACCCGTTCCCAAAATGTATGGAAACATGAACAGCTCAAAAAACATGAAAACCACTTTCACTCTCTGGGGAGTATGGCTTAAAGCATGATTAGATAAATGCTCTCCTGCCTCTTTTTTCTTTCCAAAGTGAAGTAGAATAGAAAATATCAGAGAGCATGTTTTGAGGACCCTCTATTGCAAAATATGTCTACATATTTTGTCTCCTGCGTTGCAGTGTCGCTCACTGTGGGCTGCAGTCAAAAATTATTCAAAACCACGACATCTTCCCATTGTAAAATCCAGTAGCTCTAAGAATTCTTATCTCTTCGTTGCAGAGGTCCAAAATCGCGGTCTATGAGAAAATGTGGTCTTACATGAAATCCGCAGAGCCGTCTGTGTTTACCAAAACAACAGCAGATGGAGTGGCCCGTGTGCGGAAGTCCAAAGGGAAGTTCGCCTTCCTGCTGGAGTCCACCATGAATGAGTACATCGAGCAGAGGAAACCATGTGATACGATGAAAGTTGGTGGAAATCTGGATTCCAAAGGCTATGGTGTGGCAACCCCGAAAGGCTCAGCATTAAGGTGGGTGGAATAATATAACAATATCCGTGTTGTTATAGTATTCCACCTACCCTGATGCATTTTGTTGTCATTTTCTTTCTTGTGGATTTTGAGGTAACTTTTAAAAGTTTAAAATCTGCCATATTCCATGGAGTTAAATAAGACGGTAAATTATGGTTTCATCTATTTAATGCATCCTTTTTTTTTTTTAATGTTCTCTCTCTGTGTGGTCCTCTCTGACTGTTTGTTGCTGTTTTAATTTTACAGTTCAACGGCTTTTTCAATTTAAATGGTAAAAGCCAAGTTATGGTGCCATATGTGACGAATGTTAATTGCATGGATGTGGTGTTCTTGTTACTTTTTTTCTCAAAGACAATTTCCCGCACACTTCAGTTTTGGGCAAATGTTATCCTCCATGCCACCTTCCAATATTTAACCCTGTATTTGCTGTACAGACATTTTTTATAGCTCCACGTTCTGTGAAATTTAGCCAATTTGTCCTCTTGTGCTCTTTTTTATACGTTAACGATTTCCTAAGCATTTGTGCATTTTCTTACAAGTTATGTTTTATCGTTTCAAGAAATGCTGTTAACCTGGCAGTATTAAAACTGAATGAGCAAGGCCTCTTGGACAAATTGAAAAACAAATGGTGGTACGACAAAGGAGAGTGCGGCAGCGGGGGCGGTGACTCCAAGGTCAGCCTCAATGTCACCACAACCGGGTACCCTTAGTGACGAGTAATCGGCAAGACTGTTAGCTTATTATTGAGGAGAAAGCACCAGATGTCTCACACGTACACGTGAAATGACCAGGTTATCCCCATGCCTGGCAGCTTTGGAAAGCAAAAGGCTTCAGGGCACTGCCCGCATTTTTGATCTAACTTGGGTCCCTTCTTAAACTCCCAGACAGAGACTCCCTATCCAACACGCCTTCCCTCCCGTCGCACACCAGACTGGTTGCCTTACAGAGGCTGTGATGTGTGTTGCATTCTGCTGGGCTTTCAAGAGCCCAAGGCTTTCCTGTGAGACCATCCCCACCTGCCTTGGCTGAGTGGTTTGAGAAATTAGATCTAGCTACCAGTCAGGTGACAGCCTTCTTTTTCTTTCTTTCAGTCTTTCTTTCTTTCGGTCTTTCTCTTTTCCTTTCTTTCTCTGTGCTGTGATGGTGAATCAGGGAGCTTGGTTGGTTGATCAGGGCTGGCTTCTTCTATTATATGGATGAGAGAGGAGCTGGTGTTCTCTATATGGGATGGTCCATTGAAGCAGACCCCATTTCACTCGAAAGCCAAAAGAACACCTTAGGCTTCAAGTTAAATAGGGTCTTTCTTCAATGGGCCACCCCACATAGAGAGCTTGCAAAGACATTTAGTATAAACAAATGCGTCGCTCAACTGTGATACACTGTGTGTATGAATCCCTGATTTGGCTTCTCCCTAGCCATGTTCTCGATTCAGGTAGGTTGAATTCTTATCCAGGCTGCCCTCCTAAGAAACCCCATCTTCCTTGGCGTCCTTTTGGCTCCTTAACGCTCGTCAAAGCTAGAATGAATGCATACCCATCATCCAAGCAACAAGAGATAGGGGCAAGCTCAGAAGCCCTGGAAACCAAGTGATGGAAAGACACATTGGTAAGTACGGGAGAGGATCTGGAAACAGAATTCTCCATGGCCCAAAGGGCATGGAAATGATATTGAAGCCTGTAAGATTGGCTCTTGTACAACCAAGATAGCATGGGCATCTTATGATGAAGAACAGTGTTTCCCAACCACTGCTCATCAGACCGGCAAGCCGAAACTTTCCTCCTTCATAGACGATGGTTACACTTGCGCTTCTCTCATCCTCTCTCCATTCCTCAGAACCTTGATGGAAAAGTTAGTTTGCCAGTCTGCAGTAGAATATGGGTTTGGAAACACTGATCCAGAGCACTTGCAAAGAAACAAATTTTCAAACAACTTTCTTCAGCACATAACCTTACCAGATACTGGTGAGGCCTTTTATTGTAAAACCTTGATTAACCAGAACTCATCCAATCAGTATGACAACTAACTGAATGATCGCCCCCACTCCACCACCACCCCCCAAGAACTTCATTTTGATGAAAACCCATCAATAGTACTCAAAAAAGAAGATCACATGGAATGGTTGTTGTTTGGGGGTTAGATGACCTTGAGGTGAGGTCACGGTCAACTCTGCCTCCTAGCTCTTCACTTGGATTGACTCTCAAATATTAGAAGCAGCTTCCCTGAGGTGAGAAAGTGGATCCAAGCTTTTTAAGAACACAAAATTATTAGCCAAGAATGAAACAAAATGATTATATTCTTATTGAGAATTCCACCCATCCCTTATGGATTCCAATTAATCAAGGTTTTACTCTTTCAATATGCAGTAACTTCCTTCCCCACCAATGTGAATTGATGACATGGACAATTTAGCCAAACTTTTGAATCATTTGAGTTTTATAATGAGAGATCTGATGCCCAACGTATTTAGCACCTTCTTCCTGGTCTTTTTCTCATTCAATTAGCAGGCCACAGAGAACTTTAATTGTATCACTCAAGTGAGTTGCAGAGTGAAAATTGAGCTGCAGTGAATACATTGCTATCACGGATTCATTATTCATACTCAATATGGATAAAAGGAGCCACGGACTACCTCGAGATGACTCTAAAAACATCCACAGGATGCCATGCCACGTGCCCAGAAGTCTTCAAATAACCAGACGTTCGATGGTACATCAACAAACAAAAAAAACTGCATGTATTTGACTGAATTCTTACCCTTCACCCAGATCTTTTGGTATCATGAAGATTTGTTCATTACAACCAGCAATCATGTTTTCTTTTTTCCCCTCAGCTAATACTGCTGCAAAATTTTTATCAAGTAACTTTATTGCCAGTCCATGATTTACAGATTATCTGATTTGAAAAATAGAAAACAATTTCCATAGATCTGAAATCTTTTCAATTTCCCTGACCATAGTGCTACCCACCAGGCCTCTTACAAATCACTTTTCTTGGTCATTCCTCCAGTCAACTGTGCCAAATAAGTCAACCCCTTTCTCAACTATGGATAAAGGTTTGATCAATGCTGCACATCCAAGGATTGCTTATTCCTTTTCTGGATCCCCAAGGAACTTGCCTTTATCTTCTTCCTTCTTGCTACCTGCTGTTTTCTGGGAGTGAGCAAGAGAAGGGGCAAGAGATGAACTTGAATCTGTTTAATCACTATTTGGTGGTGATGCTAAAAATAAATCCATGGAGAAGGAGGTAGAAATGGCAGTGAAACCTCATTAATTTGGAGCCCTCTAATCAATAAATTGTGATAAATTGGACAGGGACAAGTCTACGGTTTAACCTTATATTATCAGGGATGGAGAGAAAAGAGGCTTGCTCAGCAAATGATGAGTTTAGACTAGATTGCCAGGTGATTTTTTCCTTCAGAGAACAAACCCTTTTCAAATGCTGCAAGCATTTATTAGATATAATCATATTCATTATAACCTACATACTAAAGCAGTTCTCATGAGGATCTGCATTAAGGCAACATTTTATAGTCAGTTTGAATTACAAACTAGACAAAAAGTAATAAAACTGGCATTCTTCAGCCTGATTTTGTAATTCAGGCCTCTCTTTACTCATTCAGACAATCCTTCCCTTCTGTTTAGTCCAAAGCGGACTGTATTAGTGAGATTCCGTGAGGATTATACTTCTTTATTTTATCACATCCCCAGTTAACATGACAATTGACTATTGAAGATGCCATCATCTCATGTGCAGAAGTGCAACCGAGAGGTGATGGCGACTTTCAGAATGTCACACAGCGGCTGCTCTCACAAATCTCTGCTGATTTTCAGGGTCACCTCTTGTGATACTATTGCAGAAGGTAATTATCACATGTATCCATCCAATGAGAAATGTAAATCTGATTGCATGTGATATGTTGCCATAAGAATCAGGTTCATTCTCAACCACCGTGGTTACATAGCAAATGGCATAGTAAGGCCATTTCAGCCCTCACGACTGATTAGGAAAAATGACAATCATCACAAAGCCTGACATTTATGAGTGCTTTCACTTTTTCAGAAACGCGTTCCTGCCTATTATCTCTGAAACCAGGAGAGGGAAAAGTACCTATATTACTTATTTCTCTGTCTCTCTCCTGCAACCTTTAAATAATGATAAATGGGCAATTATATAAAATTGTTGACCTTTTCCCCTCTAAATGTGACATTACATTACATGACATAGGCTTCTGAGCCTATTCTAGAAATTTTACGATTCTGTGAAAACGATCAGCAACATATCAGGCTGTTGTTATTGTGCACATGCTTGAAGAGCTGAAGTCATCATTTGTGTGGTTTTATTTTATGAATATAAGAAATCAAGAACATGGTCAATCGCTGGCCCAGACTTACGGATGACCTACCCCAATACTGCTTGGTGGTACCAGTGTTCTAAATTTGACTGAATAAGGCCTAAGCAAAGCAGAGTTGAACCTTCCTTGGTGAATTTTAAATGCATAAGCAAGGATCATGTAAATTAGAGCTGTGGTTTGGGAATTTTTAACCTGCAAACTGCAAATCACTCTTTTGTGTTAGTGCTTTATTACAACATATGTGCAAATGTGGTCATGAAGAGCCAGTAGGTTGTTGCAGCGATAAGGCCTGATCACCAGGGGTTTGTGACACAGCCAGTGAAAGTCTGTTACTGTAAATCACACCAGAATGAGGATTTAGCTGATGGATTCCCACACAGACTCATCAGCTGCCCTCCATCACTGCCTGGTGCCTCAGATGCTCAGTCTCCTGAGCCCTCCACCCACCCTGCTTCATCCTCTGAGTACCGGGGTGGGGCGCGGTCAGCTTGACTTTGCCTTCTACCTTAGAAGAGGGGATCAGACCAGTGAAACAAGCTAACCATATCTGGGGTGACGATATTGCAAAGTATGACAAACCCTACCCCACTTCACCCTAAGTTGTATCTGGCTTTCATTCTATGTAAAGATTTGAAAGGATTTCCGGTACTCTTATTTTCCATGCTGAAAATAAATAGGGTGACAAGGAAGACTTTGGTACTTTGGGGAACAGTGGAAGAGAACATTTTCAATGGGACCATTTGGGATCCTTTGACTGCAATGAGAATTAAATGATAAGCCCATTGCTGTCGAGTCAATTCCAACTCGTAGTGACCCAATGGGCAGCACAGAACTGCCCCATCAGGTTTCCAAGGCCATTACCCTTTGCAGAAGCCAACTGCCATATCATCCTCCTGCAGGGTGGCTGGGGCATTCCAGCGATGGATCTGTGGGTTAGCAAGCACGTATTGTAGCCCCTGCACCACTAGGCCTCCTGGTATAGTCTGTACCCGGGATGTGAAACCATATGGAAAGTGATGGATGTGGCTAGGATAGGCAGTGATACATTCGTCATTTAAACCAATGGTTCCAGGATCATTAGCACTTACAGAATTAGTGCTAACGAAATGCAACGTTATCATCTTTGAAAATCTATCCGAACAAGAGTAAAGGAACAAAGATGAAGCTGTGGAAGAACTTCCAGACTGTCTTTGGATAGATACCAACAGTAGCTTGTAATTAAAATTAGTTGCGTTTCCTTTCACATGGGTGCTTTCAAAATACCGAAAAAGTGTTTGTTGGCAGAAGAAATTCAAACATGTGTCTCGCCCCTACCACTGGCAA